GTGTTTGTGTGATATTATTATAATAAACTATAATGTTATATATATATATATAAAAAAAAAACACCCAGCACGCCCCTGCGGGCGGTTTATCCTTCAAGCTCGGGTCCTCTACCAGAGGCCTGGGAGCTTGAGGGTCCTGCGCAGTATCTTAGCTGTTCCCAGGACTGCGCTCTTCTGGACAGAGATCTCCGATGTTATTCCCGGGATCTGCTGGAGCCACTCGCCTAGCTTGGGAGTCACCGCACCTAGTGCTCCTGATTCATGTAGCCCCTTCCGCCGGGGTTACTTGCGTAGTAGCATTCCAACAACGCCCTGTTTTCGATCTCTTGCCCACCGATGCCTTCTTGTTCCAGTAGCCCACTTTTCGTCAGGGTGCCCTGGTTCCTCAACACCTGACGCGGACCTTGTTGATCCGGGCGACGTCCGAGCCGGCATGCCTTCATATTTATCTGTCTCGCTCATGTCTGCGGTAGGCTGCTTAGCATAGGGGGTCTAGCCTTAGGACCCTTACTGGATACAGACGCCCCGGCAGGAATCGAACTTGCGATCCTGGCTGCTCCAAAGGCGTGTAGTCTAACCACTACGCTATCCAGCTTATATATAATAAAATTATATATATATATACATATATATATATATATATATATTATATTAAAATATTATATATATATATATAATATATATATATATATATATATAATATATATATATATATATATATATATATATATATATATATATATATATATATAAATATATATATATATATATATATTAATATATATATAATATAATATATATATATATATATATATATATATAATAATATTAATTATATATATATATTTTAACAACAGACGTATCCAAAAAAACTTTACAAAAAAAAAATATTGGAGTTTGCTTTTTCCAGTGCAAAAGATTTTTGCACGGTTTGCAATAATCAATTAACCAGATTGTTCACAAAGGGTCTCCAAACCTCTTCAAATGTTGAAGTCTGTCTTTCATCAAACCATTTCTTCTTTCTAGTGGATGGTTTGGCATCATTCGCCCTTCTAACTGAGGTTTCTGATGCACATTTTTAGCAAAAGACTGAATGCATCAGTTGGCGAGCGAGCTACACGCAATTACAACCCGGACCACATCTGGACTGCTGTAATCAGCGTTCATGTATTGCTGAGGCTTACAAGACCAGAGGGAGAAGCTTCCAGGGCCGACAGCTAGGACATCTTGTCGCGTCTAAAGCGGGTTGTAATCAGGCCGGTGGCAGCTTTCTTTCAGCTGCGTCTTGGAGCAGGTACGCAGCAGGCTGCCGGGTGGTGGGCGGCCTGTCTTTTGCTCCTCACAGAACTGATGACGGAAACACTATTCTGGCTATTTTTACTGTGGCTTCTTACTGATCAAAAGGCAACCAGGCATGCTCACTGACAGCGGGAAAATGATTTTATTCATCAGGACTTCTGTGACAGGCTTTATGTCTGGCAAAATAAAATAAAAAAAAATAAAATAAAAAAGAGGAGATGCAGTCTTTTTCGTCAGAGGGAAATTTATTTTAGTCTGTGAGCAGGGAGTCACAGCGGTAACCGCATTAAGGGGGCTGTAAAAACAGTCATGAAACTAAACTGAAAACACAGATATGACTCTTTAAAAAAAAAAAGATATATTGTACATCTGGTTTGTTCTGCCTGCGTTCTTTGTAGGTCTGTAGTTGTGTATACATCCTCTCCTAGAGACTGCCTTTTAAGCACCTCATAAGTCATAACCACGTAGACTAGCAGCCACTCCTTTCTTTGACTAGCTTGGCACTGAGGGAGGGGTTTCACAGTTCAAAGTTCACTTATTGGTGCCCAGCCTCTAGCCTCCAAAATTCCTATGAGTATGAAATCAATTCCTCCCCTCTGCTGTCAGCAGTAATTCTCATCGAAACACGGTGAATCTTAAGAAAAAGAAGAAAAACAAGCGGGCACGAGCGCTGGCTTCTCAAACTACAGATGTCGTGTTTTGTAAACGCCAAGAAGCAATCAGATACAGAACACCAAAGTGACACACCCATGGCACACACTGGACACGGCACGGACGCTGAATCATCGCACACGACGACCGCTTCCTTTGTTTGACTAGTGAAGCACACACAGGAAGCGACAAACCCCATACGATAACACCACGAGAAACAGCCGCTGTCAAGCAATGACACACAAGAGCGGGAAAAAAGAGCAGATACCCCGGCCCCGGTATCGATCAATACCGACAAGCTGACACAGGCAACCAACCACCTCAACCATCGAAGAAAACCCAGCCTCCACAATAAAGTTTCATCGTCCGCTCAAAGCCCAGCCCCCAAGGCAGACAAATTCTCACACTGACACATACTGAAAGCAACGTGGATCAGAACTCACCCAGTTACGAATGTGAGACCGCCGACAAACCCACCAACCAAAATTCCCCGAAGAAATCAGTTGAAACCATTCACACTTTCACTCCACAACACGCCAGACTTTAAAACAGTAACACCCAACCAGTATCGAAAAGGCAAAGAAACCACAAAAGAAGTTTGACAAACGACACCCCAAAGATGCAAAAAACAAACAAACACCAGCCACGTACCAGACATCATAGTGAGCAGGTACTGCATTAACACAAGTCTGCCCTTAAGAGTTTTCCATTAGTTCCCGGCTGGAGAGAGAGTGCACAGCTCACGCGGTGAACATCCATTAGCTCCTGAATGACATCCATATGTAACGTAATTTGCAAGACAATAAGATACAAATCACGGCGCACTTATTTCCTAAGAAGACTCACTATAAGCTGAAACAAGACATGAGATGATGACACAATCAGACGGTCAGGGTTTCACCACAAATCAACAAGCAAAGTTTCCTAAGAACTCCCCGAAATGTTTGATCGTATCCCAGCCGAGTCTTACAGTTTCCCCACTCGGGACACTCGTGTGAATAAATCAGGACTGCCGGCTTAATGAAAAGACCTCAAAAAGACTGAAATCCAAACCAGAAGACGCATATTTCAGTGAATGGGAGTGTTTTGAATCTGTGAGCTGAAATAACTTTACTGGGATGTTAGCTGATGATGATGTCATTTTTACAACAACTCTGGGACAGCTTCCGACTTTTTTTTTGTTTTAATCCTCAGCAAAAAACTGAAAATATCGCCACACTTACGGTAGCAAATGAGAGCTTACATGTCCGATCTCAGGGCTGTAGGATAATTTACTAAAAGAGCACAAGTGCAGTCACATTAAATGTGAGCTGCTGAGGAAATTCAGATTCAGAGTCAGTCTGCAGAACGGTTTTTGTTTCATCTTGTTCAAGCCTGTCTTATGGATGTGCACTCAACAGTCCTGAGTTTAAAGCTTCGGGGGGGAAATGGCGAGCACGCACACACACGCATGGAGGTCTAAAGAATAAAACGGAGATCAATAAGCGAATGTCAAACTGCAGAGACCGATCAGAGGGAGCAACACGGAAGAAAAAGGCTCACTTGAGTCAGGGGGAGAGCGAAGGAGGTGAGGTGGGAGTTCAGCAGTACTCACCCTGTCGAGTAAGTTGTCACTGGTGGAAGAAGCAGCACCAGCAGCAGGGAAGAGGGAAACAGTTGATCTGTCTTCAGTGACAAGCCAAATCAGAAAAAGACAAAAACAAAAACAAAAAACAAAAAACAAAACAAACTACAATCACTTCTTTTTCTTTATCCTAGCTTCATGGACCAGTGCTGCTGCTGTTGTGATTACTTTCCCCACACGCGTGTGAACATAAACACACCACGAAACCCAGTCCAAAAAGATCTTACAGTCCCTCCTGCACTCAAGCTCTTCTTCTTTGATGTGCACAATCAACACAAGCAGTCTAGTCAGCGGCGACAGACAGTATGTGTGTGTGCACCATGAAGCCCAGAGCGTGTGTGAACAAGCAAGGAGCGAGCGCAGGAGTGTGTACACTCCCCGAGAGGGAGGTGACTGCACAGAGAGAGAGGGGGAGTGAGAGACAGCAGGTAATCTCACTCCCTCTCCTTCCTCGAGTGCCACTCCCTCCAGTCACTCCTCCGCAGCGTTTGCTCAATCAGGATTTCTCACTCTCGTAACTGCAAACGCTCATCTTTAACCCTGTTGCTCAATATAAAAAAAGAAACGATCTACTCGCCAGATTTGTTTTGTTTACATGTAAAGGTAGTGAAATAACACGTATATGTGGATTCCTAGAAACTCTGACCGGAGTATCTCTGAGACGAGGCTCGGTTCAGACACAAGTGATTCAAAGTTCTTCAGAAAAAACGCGCTTGGCAGGTTTTTCAAACTCCGTAAAGGAAATACAATGAAAGCAGGTGGTGAAAACGTCCATACGGCTGAGGGGTTTAAAATAAGCATGAATGTAGGAATACTTTCACCAAATGTCTTTGCAAAGGGAGCCTAAAAAGAACAGATAATATTTTTAGGAAGTGGTTTGCTCAAGCATGAGGAACTGAGCCATACTTGCTGACAGCAGTTATTTTTAAACTGTGACCAAATTTCCCTGCAATGTTTTCTCCAGGTTCAGGTTTACTTGTGATTGTTTTCAGTCTTGCTGCAATTTACAGATGTTCCCTAAAAGCCTCACAGGCAGGTAGTCGGTGCTCTAGACTGAACAACCTTTAGCCAAAATATGAGAACCGCTAATCCAAACTATGACAAACTGGATGCTCCACCTATTCGGATCAGGAGTACTACTCCGAGTTAGTTGGAAGCAGATCAGTGGAACAGTTGCTGAGAAAACTGAAGCACCGACTGGAAAATCCGAATTTAGGGTAGGAGTAGTTTCTGGCCTTACATTTTACTGCCAAATATTGTTGACATCTTCATGAAAAAATATTTTTAAAAATGATTTTATTGTCCTGTATACGGCAAACAGGAGCTGGAAAGCTTCACATTTCAGAAGATGGAAGAAGTAAATATGTGGAATTTGATCATAATATACTAATTAGCTTTTAATCAGCTGGTCGATTGATCCAAGTCACATTTTTAATGGTGATTCCCAAAGACATATTAGCTGAAAGCCTGGAATATTTGGGCATGGTGTGCAGTACATCCTTAAAAACAACAAAACACCAACAGTATCTGGAAGTCATATCTTTTAAGGAATAGGACATAATCTGGCAAAGATCTGACACAGGACCTAAGAGATGCTTCTGTACCTTCAGTTCATCAATCTACTGTATGGGATCATCTTGACAGAGAACAGAACAAAAGGCAGCCAGCTTCCAAAGATGAGCTTTAAGTGTCCTTCAAGAAGCCCGGAGAACTATTCCTGAAGACTATTTAAACACTTCTGAGAAAGCTTACCTACAAAAGTTCCAGCTGTGTTCAAGAATAAAAGTGACTTTCAGGTTGGTTAGGCTTGTCCCCACTCTGTATGTTTTCACACGTTTCATCAAATCAGTGCACCCATTTCCTATTTTCCTAACAAAACAAAACAAATAAAGGGTGGGTTAAAGCTTAAGCAAGGTACCGTACTGTGCATAAAACGTATGCTTCGTATCGTCTCTTTGTCTCTTCCTCTACGATTTCTGATCTGACAAAGAGAAAAAATGTAAAACTATATACTAAAGAGTGATGTAAACTATTTTAAGTGAAGATTTAAAATGTGGGTCCATCTTCAGGAACAAACAAGGCACCAGGTCGGCTCCTCACCATTAGCAGACTCATATATTCACACCGATTAGGCCAGATGTTCTCCGCTACAAAAGCACCAAACTAATATTTCCTGTTAGCGTAATAATCTGTGACAGCCCCTCTCAAACCTTCTGTTCTCTGTGATCTTCAGCATGCATCAGATATCAGATCGGCTGCATTTTGTGCAGAATGCCAAGCTGCTACAAAAGTCCTTTCAACCGTTCACATGGCTTCAGCTGGACCGTCAAGTCAAAGTGAACCATTATGTAATGGCACATTAGCAGCACACGCTAGGATAACAGGTCGATATGAGGATGGGGTGAGAGAAAGGGGGCGAGAGAAAAAAACAAAAAACAAAAAAAGTTGTCCACTGGCAGCTGGCCTTCACAGAGGGGCTGGTCAGTGATTGTTACCACAGAAACCTGAGCTCCTGCACGTTAGCTGTAATGGGAGGAAGTGTTCAGAATACGACTGTTTACTTTACCTGCAGTAAGGTAGGATTTGGCCATGTGTACACATATTAATGTATATCTATATATATATCTATATATATCTATATCTCTATATAGATATCTATATCTCTATATATCTATATCTCTATATATCTATATCTCTATATATCTATATCTCTATATATCTATATCTCTATATATCTATATCTATATCTATATCTATATCTATATCTATATATCTCTATCTCTATCTCTATCTCTATCTATATCTATATATCTATATCTATATCTATATCTATATCTATATCTATATATATATCTATATATATCTCTTTATTTTAACAAGACGTATCCAAAAAAACTTTACAAAAAAAAAATATTGGAGTTTGCTTTTTCCAGTGCAAAAGATTTTTGCACGGTTTGCAATAATCAATTAACCAGATTGTTCACAAAGGGTCTCCAAACCTCTTCAAATGTTGAAGTCTGTCTTTCATCAAACCATTTCTTCTTTCTAGTGGATGGTTTGGCATCATTCGCCCTTCTAACTGAGGTTTCTGATGCACATTTTTAGCAAAAGACTGAATGCATCAGTTGGCGAGCGAGCTACACGCAATTACAACCCGGACCACATCTGGACTGCTGTAATCAGCGTTCATGTATTGCTGAGGCTTACAAGACCAGAGGGAGAAGCTTCCAGGGCCGACAGCTAGGACATCTTGTCGCGTCTAAAGCGGGTTGTAATCAGGCCGGTGGCAGCTTTCTTTCAGCTGCGTCTTGGAGCAGGTACGCAGCAGGCTGCCGGGTGGTGGGCGGCCTGTCTTTTGCTCTTCACAGAACTGATGACGGAAACACTATTCTGGCTATTTTTACTGTGGCTTCTTACTGATCAAAAGGCAACCAGGCATGCTCACTGACAGCGGGAAAATGATTTTATTCATCAGGACTTCTGTGACAGGCTTTATGTCTGGCAAAATAAAATAAAAAAAAAAAAAAGAGGAGATGCAGTCTTTTTCGTCAGAGGGAAATTTATTTTAGTCTGTGAGCAGGGAGTCACAGCGGTAACCGCATTAAGGGGGCTGTAAAAACAGTCATGAAACTAAACTGAAAACACAGATATGACTCTTTAAAAAAAAAAAGATATATTGTACATCTGGTTTGTTCTGCCTGCGTTCTTTGTAGGTCTGTAGTTGTGTATACATCCTCTCCTAGAGACTGCCTTTTAAGCACCTCATAAGTCATAACCACGTAGACTAGCAGCCACTCCTTTCTTTGACTAGCTTGGCACTGAGGGAGGGGTTTCACAGTTCAAAGTTCACTTATTGGTGCCCAGCCTCTAGCCTCCAAAATTCCTATGAGTATGAAATCAATTCCTCCCCTCTGCTGTCAGCAGTAATTCTCATCGAAACACGGTGAATCTTAAGAAAAAGAAGAAAAACAAGCGGGCACGAGCGCTGGCTTCTCAAACTACAGATGTCGTGTTTTGTAAACGCTCAGAGTGAAATTCAAGACGAGGTATGTACAGGTGTGAGCACATGGCACACACAGACACGCGCGCACGGACACTGAATCACTGTGTGCGCACGACTGAGCGACACACACCTCCCTTTGTTTAGACTAGGTGATATCATACACAGATGACAGCTTACAACCTCTCTCTTGTAATAGGATAACAGCCACAGTGATAATCCTGGAGCCGCTTCAATGCAATGGAGCGCACATGTGAGCAAGTATGAAAAGATGGGCCAGGATATATCCACCTGCCTCCTGTGTTTACCTGGAGATATCCTCACACACACACACACACACACACACACACAAAACAATGGCGCACCACTATCTCCAAACCATCTCAGTTTCTCTTTCATCAAAACTGTCTGACCTCCCAGCACGATTTATGGATACTTTGGACGCCTGGTACGTTCAGAGTCCTTTTCTCCTGGCAAGCAGTTTTACAGGTGTATGAACTCACGTAGAGACAAGAGTGAACTAATGATTAACGTATACGGTATTCGGATGAACAGGGCGTGGATGGTCCGACTGAGAGCTCAAAAAACAGGGCAAAAAAAAACCCAGATTAATGGGAGTTTCGTTGTAGGGTTTCCATTATTTTAATTCAAAATATTGACAGAAATGGAGCTGATGTGGCAATGAGATCCACTTTTCCCATTTTTTTTTTTTTTTTACACCTCACCCATTTTTGTGAAAGTATCCCCCCTCTTCCCCTCTCTTACCCCCACCCCCAGCCTTGTTCTTCTGGAGGTTTCTTCCTGTTAAAAAGGACTTCTTCCTTCCCGGTGTTGCCAAATGCTTGCTCATAGGGGGTCATTTGATTGTTGGTGTTTTCTCCATTTTATTGTGTCTTTACCTTACAATAAAAAGCACCTTGAAGTGAGCGCTTATGTGATTTGGTGTAAGATTGAATTGAACATTGAGAGCTTGTGTGTTGTTCTGCAGTTTTCTGGTAATCTTTTTGCAGTTACGATAACCCTGCACTTTGAGAAAACAGCCGCTGTGCTAAAATGAAGGTCAAGAGACAAACTTAATTATCAGACAGATCTGGTTATCTGTTCTTTAGGTCATAAAAGCTTAAATGCAACCAAACACCTCCCATGTCAAAGAAGAAAGCCTCCGTAAATAAATGGTGCTTTTTCAGTCCTGTCGACCACTCAAAGCACTTTGCACTCCAATCTGCATACACAGCACTTCTCTATCACTAATCCATACTGATGAAGGAAGTCTTTAGGGTCAGTAACTCACCCAGGGATACTTTGGAAGGTTGGTGGGTCGATCCCAGGCTCCCGTAGTCCTGATACAACTTCTCCCGAAGTAATCAGTTTGAAATCTATGTTTACACTTTCAGGACTTTTTTTCTTTTTATCCTACCTTCAGAGTTCAGGGTTTGTTTAAAACATGGAAAGAAGATGTGAGATGCTATCACTGATAGGAAATAAGACCAAAACTGTAACTCTCTAAAGTGACAGTGCAAAGATGAAGCAAAACAAACTCCACCCAGCCACGTACCAGACATCATAGTGAGCAGGTACTGCATTAACACAAGTCTGCCCTTAAGAGTTTTCCATTAGTTCCCGGCTGGAGAGAGAGTGCACAGCTCACGCGGTGAACATCCATTAGCTCCTGAATGACATCCATATGTAACGTAATTTGCAAGACAATAAGATACAAATCACGGCGCACTTATTTCCTAAGAAGACTCACTATAAGCTGAAACAAGACATGAGATGATGACACAATCAGACGGTCAGGGTTTCACCACAAATCAACAAGCAAAGTTTCCTAAGAACTCCCCGAAATGTTTGATCGTATCCCAGCCGAGTCTTACAGTTTCCCCACTCGGGACACTCGTGTGAATAAATCAGGACTGCCGGCTTAATGAAAAGACCTCAAAAAGACTGAAATCCAAACCAGAAGACGCATATTTCAGTGAATGGGAGTGTTTTGAATCTGTGAGCTGAAATAACTTTACTGGGATGTTAGCTGATGATGATGTCATTTTTACAACAACTCTGGGACAGCTTCCGACTTTTTTTTTGTTTTAATCCTCAGCAAAAAACTGAAAATATCTCCACACTTACGGTAGCAAATGAGAGCTTACATGTCCGATCTCAGGGCTGTAGGATAATTTACTAAAAGAGCACAAGTGCAGTCACATTAAATGTGAGCTGCTGAGGAAATTCAGATTCAGAGTCAGTCTGCAGAACGGTTTTTGTTTCATCTTGTTCAAGCCTGTCTTATGGATGTGCACTCAACAGTCCTGAGTTTAAAGCTTCGGGGGGGAAATGGCGAGCACGCACACACACACGCATGGAGGTCTAAAGAATAAAATGGAGATCAATAAGTGAATGTCAAACTGCAGAGACCGATCAGAGGGAGCAACACGGAAGAAAAAGGCTCACTTGAGTCAGGGGGAGAGCGAAGGAGGTGAGGTGGGAGTTCAGCAGTACTCACCCTGTCGAGTAAGTTGTCACTGGTGGAAGAAGCAGCACCAGCAGCAGGGAAGAGGGAAACAGTTGATCTGTCTTCAGTGACAAGCCAAATCAGAAAAAGACAAAAACAAAAACAAAAAACAAAAAACAAAACAAACTACAATCACTTCTTTTTCTTTATCCTAGCTTCATGGACCAGTGCTGCTGCTGTTGTGATTACTTTCCCCACACGCGTGTGAACATAAACACACCACGAAACCCAGTCCAAAAAGATCTTACAGTCCCTCCTGCACTCAAGCTCTTCTTCTTTGATGTGCACAATCAACACAAGCAGTCTAGTCAGCGGCGACAGACAGTATGTGTGTGTGCACCATGAAGCCCAGAGCGTGTGTGAACAAGCAAGGAGCGAGCGCAGGAGTGTGTACACTCCCCGAGAGGGAGGTGACTGCACAGAGAGAGAGAGGGGGAGTGAGAGACAGCAGGTAATCTCACTCCCTCTCCTTCCTCGAGTGCCACTCCCTCCAGTCACTCCTCCGCAGCGTTTGCTCAATCAGGATTTCTCACTCTCGTAACTGCAAACGCTCATCTTTAACCCTGTTGCTCAATATAAAAAAAGAAACGATCTACTCGCCAGATTTGTTTTGTTTACATGTAAAGGTAGTGAAATAACACGTATATGTGGATTCCTAGAAACTCTGACCGGAGTATCTCTGAGACGAGGCTCGTTTCAGACACAAGTGATTCAAAGTTCTTCAGAAAAAACGCGCTTGGCAGGTTTTTCAAACTCCGTAAAGGAAATACAATGAAAGCAGGTGGTGAAAACGTCCATACGGCTGAGGGGTTTAAAATAAGCATGAATGTAGGAATACTTTCACCAAATGTCTTTGCAAAGGGAGCCTAAAAAGAACAGATAATATTTTTAGGAAGTGGTTTGCTCAAGCATGAGGAACTGAGCCATACTTGCTGACAGCAGTTATTTTTAAACT